TATTCTAGTATACCTCCTGTTGACCTGCTATAATGTGTAGCATTGCTGTTGACTTCTGCATGTGTGCTTCTTACTGTCAGGAGCGAATCAAAACTACGGCAAAATATGTATCAAGTATTACTTTGGTTTTTTCACTTGGACTAATAACTTTACTGGGTCGTTAATGTACATTTGGAATTTTTGTGATCTTTAGTGATTGTATGCAATGTGTAACGTGTTAATAATGTGTTATTAGATGAACTCGAGTCTCATTTGAAAGCTACCAAAATACGAACTTTAATTACGGTGTCTTCCCACTTAGCCAAAATTCTGAAATTGTAACTGGTGACTGGTTTTGGCTAGAGGGGAATGGGAATGCTTGAGGGCAAGATATAATTTGATACCGCCGCGCGATCGGCGCTCGAATTTTTCACATAAAAAATCCCATCATCTAAAAAGTACACATGTAGCAAAGAAAAAAGTATTGCGCTATTGTTCTCTGAATAACATGCATAAAAAAGCTATAGCAATGTATCATGCATAAACATAATATTTGAAACTTTTGTTTAATTTTTTTTTTTTGCGTTAAACATATAAAAACAAAAGCAATAACTAAAAAAAAAAATAATTAAATAATTGAAGTAAACTTATCATAAAAAAATATTATTAATAAAAACAATAAAACATGCACACATAAAAACAAACCCAAACTAATTAAACAAACAAAGTTAACAAAAAAATTATTTCTTTTTATACGAGTACTTAGATTATTTGGATTTTTCAGTCCCCCCCCCCCCCCCCCCGGGCCTGTGATGTGTTTCTCATCTACTTTGTTTGACATGCTCATACAAATGTATTTTTGTATCTGAACAATATGGCGTATATTTGAATTGTGTCTGAAATTTTAACTCTGATTTTTTTTAAGAATCAGGAAATGTTTGAAAATCTTCAATTTCGCCTCGGTAAAGAACCTCATATTTTCTTGTTAATGTATTTTCTTTGTTTCGAATTCGATGCATTTAATCTAAATGCATGCGGGGTCAGAGCTTGACGAGAGTCGTACAAGTTATCCCCCGTAACATCTCGTTGTTTGAGACGAGGGTCTGATTTTTAGGGTAGATTTCGGAAGAAATGTAGGGATTTCGGGAAATATGGAACAATGTGACAAGCTTGAGGTCACATTGAAGCTTTATGGAAAATTGGTCCCATCCCTTGGAAAAATCTCATTAAAGAATAATAGAACAAAATGTTCACTCACCCATCGCTTGCGGTACTTTCTTCTTGCGTTTCCATATTTTTCGATAGACGTCACTGACCAAAGTGACCACGTGTCATTATTATCATTGGAACCTAATATATTTCTGACGTCATAGTTTGCTACACACCATTCAGTTTCTTTCAATGCTTAATTTTGTCCTGCATTACGAAAACTCGTAAAATAGTCTCTCACATCTAGCTATATTACGAATTTCCGTAATTTAACTATATGACGAAAAATAATAATATAAGAATAATATTACGATATTCGGTAATATTACGATTTTTCGTAATATTACAATTTTTCGTAATATTACGATTTTTCGTATTGGACTGGACTGTTATTTCTTTGAAAATCTTCTTCTCTACTATTGGTATTATTGAAACAAATTGAATACATAATTATGATTAGCAAGGGTGACTCTACCAAAATTGTGAAATGCATGCCCCCAGGGTCAGGGGTTCTGTTGATATGGCGGGGCTATATAAATCATAAAGTGAAAGTACATTATTTCTTTGAAAATCTTCTTCTCTACTCCTGGGTATTATTTGAACAAATTAAATACATAGTTATGATAAGCAAGAGTGACTCTACTAAAATTGTGAAATTCATAGCCCCAGGGTCATGGGTTGTGGTGCTAGGGCGGGGCTATATAGATCATATAGTGAAAGTGCATTATTTCTTTGAAAATCTTCTTCTCTACTCCTGGGTATTATTTAAACAAATCAAATACATAGTTTTGATGAGCAATGATGCCTCTTTCAAAATTGTGAATTTCATGGCCCCTGGATCAGGGTCTGGTGTTAGGGCGGGGCTCTATTTATTATATAGTGAAAATACATTAATGCTTTAAAAATCTTCTTTTCTGCTCCTGGGTATTATTTAAACAAACTAAGTACATTGTTATGATAAACAAAGATGCCTCTTCCAAAATTGTGAAATTCATGACCCCAGGGACAGGGGTTCTGGTGCTAGGGCGGGGCTATATAGATCCTATAGTGAAGGTGACTTATTTCTTTGAAAATCTTCTTCTCTGCCCCTTGGTATTATTTAAACAAACTAAGTACATTGTTATGATGCCTCTTCCAAAACTGTGAATTTCATGGCCCCAGGGTCAAGGGTTCTGGTGAAAAAGGGGGGGGGGCTCTATTGATTATATAGTGAAAAAGCAAAATTTCTTTGAAAATATTCTTTTCTGCTTCTGGTTTAAAAGCAAAGAAGCTAAGTGTATAGTTATGATGAGCAAGAATGCTTCTTCCAGAGTAGTGAATTGCATGACCCCTGGGTCAGATGTGCTGGTGTAAGGGTGGGGCTCTTAATTATTAATATAGTGAAAATGCATTAATTCAATTAAATAATCCTGTCTGCTCTTTAGTGTTAAGCAGATAAACAAAGTGATTACTTATGATGAGCAAACTTCTGGCCCCAGGGTGAGAGGCTCTGGGTTTTTCTTGGTGGGGAAGTGGGTGGGGGTGGGGCTCTATTGATAATATACATGTAGTGAATTTCTAGTAAAAATGCATTATTTCTTTAAAAATCTTCTCCGCACCTGGGCATATCAGAGGCAAAAAGGGTAAAAGTTTTAATAAGGATGGGTATTTTTACCAGATTTTTGAACATCTGGACCATTTGGTCAAGTGTTCTGGTCCTGTCCAGGGCTCTATTAATTTGTATTCTACTGAGAGGAGTTATTCCCCTTCGCCATTTATTTAGAATAAGAGAATTATGCAAGAATTTTTATTGTATAATACAAAAAGTACTTTCGTAGTTTTAATGATCAGATAGACTTGTAAATATTAGATAAATAAAAATGAGACAAAAATAACTTGTCATATTAAATGTTCATCAAAGACTAAGAGAGGCCAATGTAAGAGATTTCAATTAAAATAGTAACGAAGCATTGATAAGTTTGTTAATATACTGTATGGTGATAGCGATAAATGGGGAACAGATTAGAACCTAATTTATGAACTGTTTATGAATACTAGACTAATTATTTTGTTGATCCTGATCACCCTGTTTTTCTTGCTTTTGGGCAGCAAAGATTCACCTTTCAGTTCATTTTGTACTCTATGGATCCTCTAAATTGTTGTATTATACTCAGGTGACCGTTAAGGCCCTTAATTGGGCCTCTTGTTTAAATTTAAAATATTTTTTACCACCTTCTCCTTATTTGCCACAATATTAAAAACAAAAACAATGAAAACCAATGCCAATTCACTCTTGTTATAAAATCTGTGCTCATTTTATGTCCCCTCAATAATATTGTCTCCAAGCCCCCCCCTTTTTTTGGCTTGGCAAAGGAATTAATCATTGTCAGTTTGAACAAATTTTGATCTCTACTTCCTGTCGATGCTTCCATATAAATATGAATAATCATGCCTTTGTACAGTCCTTATACCTAAACGTTTTTACCACCTTAACATGTAATCATTTTCTAATTCTGAATCAGATAATAGCATACAACTTCCAATTTCCAATACAGATGAAATTTGTTATCACAAACACCTAAATCTCAAATACAAGGGACATGTATAAGTAATTTGGCAGTCAAAACCATATGTAAAATTTACTTTGTTATTAAACTTTCTCGACCTGTCGTATTTGATACAATAAGGTTTGACTTTACATATAAAATGAAATTCTTCAATTCCTATGTTACAATACACTTAATTTATCCTTATTTTTTTCAATACAATTTTTCATGCCGATTATACAGAGCATCAAACTGAACTTAATGATAAAATTAATGATTAAAAAACAACAAACAAAAAAAAAAACAAACAAACAAAAGAAACAAAAAAAATACCAAGAGGCCCACAGGCTAGGAAAAAACAGAAATCAGTTCAGTATTGAAGTTTAAATATGAAAGTGTTCCTGGAGGGGATGATTTGAACAATCTTGAATCTACACTACCTAAGGATGCTTCCATGTATCTTTGACTATATAATCATGGCTTTAGTAGATTTTACAAGAAATTTTCCTATACGTTTGATCTTTTCTATTGTGGCCTTACCCTCCCCAAGGATCATGATTTGACCACACTTGAATCTACACTATGTCAGGATGCTTCTGAATTAATAAGAATAATTATCATGATTATGGCTTTGTTGTTTTTGAGAAGAAATTTTTTATTAATATCGATATATCCTTTACATTTCTTTGTATAACTTTGATCCCCTTTTATGACCCCTCTCTCCTCCTTGGGGGTCACGATTTGAACAAATCTGAATTTACATTACCTCGGGATGCTTCCGTATAAATATGACTAATCATGGCTTTGCCATTCTTCAGAAGATGATTTTTAAGATTTTTGTCCTATAAATTTTTATATAAGACTTTTATCGCCCATTGTGACCCCACCCTACCCACAAACCAAATGTCATGATTTGAACAACCTTGAATCTACACTACCTGAGGATGATTCCACATAAGTTCCACATAAGTTTCATATTTTCTAGCCCAGTGATTTTTGAAATTTTTTTTCAAAAGATGCCATTAATTTTTCACTAATTCGTAATTATCTCTCCTTGGAAGAAGGCCTGGCACTTCATTTGAACGAACTTGAATCCCCTTTATCCAAGGATACTTTGTGGCAAGTTTGATGAAAATTGGCCCAGTGGTTCTTGAGAAGAAGTCGAAAATGTGAAAAGTTTACAGACAGACGAATGCAAGACAAAATGTGAGCAGAAAAGCTCACTTGAGCCTTCTGCTCAGGTGAGCTAAAAAAAAAAAAACAACAACAAATAAGTGCAAGTAAACGTGTAACTTTCAATGTATTATTACAGTCACTCCAGCAGGTTTAATAAAACCAGGAATAAAGATTTCTCTCATAAGAAAGAACAAATGTACACAGTCATTTAATCCACTATTTGAGTTTTTAATCAAATTCAGCCTTTTCCTCCTGGCACGCCAGTTGTTATCCTTAAGCCATGCATATCTCGAATTTCCTCTTTTAATGCCTGAAATGATATAAATTACATTTGACAATGAATTTAAAGTCACTAGATCTACATGTATAAGTAACTGCTAGTGTGTGTTTGTTTGCTGCAGAATAATATTGCTTAGCACACTGCTAATGTAAATGTGGCACTAGAAAATTGTGCAAACACAGAAAAACAGCTTACAGTTTTCTGAAGAGACTTCAAATATAAGATGTCATGTTATAAAGATTAGGATTTTTTCCAGGGATTGTGGTGTTATAATCCTCATGCAAATAAAACTCATATTCCTGTTCTGCATTTGGAGATAAAGCATCAATCAATGGGGCTTTCAAAAATCAGAAACAGGCGGTACTTTTACAAAATTAGGAGGTACCTTGTGGAAGCAATTTTAATAAAATATGTTATTAAATTTTTCTCCATCAAATATTTTGGCCAGTACAATCATGATTTCAGATGGGTAAAAGTACCAAGTACCGGCAGATTTTGAAAGGCATGAATTGATCATGATGCATGTATATATGTCTGTACCTCATTCACCATACGATGCTGTTTTAGTGTTCTTTGTCCTCTGAATTCTTCTGCCTCCACAAAGACTGTGTACATGGCACCACATCCACCTAGATATAGTTATATTAATAGTTTTGAGGTTGCTATATAACAAATACATATGTCATTGAATATTATATAAATTTAATGAATAATATAATTGGTTACACAGGTCAAAACCACTAGATTTTCTGACGTCAGCATAAATTTGCATGTTAAGTTAGCTATCTGTTTACGTTACAGACTGACCAATCAGTTGAATGAGTCGCAATGCATTATGGGCTACTACAAGTATCAATACGAACTCAGCTGTGTTGAAAATAAAGAGCAACTTTCATTGTCCCTTGGAAACTCAATTTCAATTTTTTTTTGTTGATATTTATGAAAGAAATATTGAAAATGATGCATAATCTTTCATTTCTATGCTCACTTTTTCAAAATGTTCTTTATGAAGCCTTATATCAACTTGTAATACATTGGCATAAACTATTGTTCAAAGATACATAGGTGCTATTGTGTCAATAAAGGTTTGGGTGTGTTTTTTTCATGTGATATACATGTACGTGCATAGTTTTAGACAGCAGTACAAGGTGCAATATTATTATTTAACTCCTCGATATCATCAAAAATTTTAACGTTAAAGCCTTTGTACGGTATTTGAAGCAACTATTAATCATCTAAAACAACTCCAATATTAAATGAAAGCATGGGACAGTGTCTTTGGAATATAATCTTTCAATTTCAGTCTTATAAAGTAAAAAAGAAGCCATACAGTTTTTTTTTTGGTGAACAAGTAAATATAATGCAGTAAACTGATGAAAACCACATGTCGCTGTTGAATAGTAAACATGAAGTAGACTTCATGCTTTGCGATTCATTCAACTGATTGGAGAATAGGTATGACAAAAACATCCTCACGTGTTGAAAAGTGCATTCCATAAAAGATAGAGTACTTGACCTGTCACATACTACCGTACATTTACATGCTATAATGATCATACATTATTGTACAGCAAAATTCTTTTGAACAATAAGTACATGTAATTATTAATGAATTCAATAGAGTCAACTGATGATTTAAACCCATTTTCAAATAATAATATATACTACATGTATACTGTATCAATATTATTTTAAGCTGGACTTCATTTGTAAGATAAACATTTATATGAAGTAGCTTATAATACGAAAGATATTTTAGACATTAAAAAGTCACTTTAAACTTCACATTTAATTTGAATACCATCAAAATGGAATAAACTTGAATTATATGTAAAATATTTGTATAATGTTGCAAGGATACACTGCAATATAATTTAATTGGTTTTTCAAGGACCTTGCCCTTGCCCACCCAAACGACCTTGGTTCAAAACACTATTTGGTCATAGCTACTTTCTTGCATTGCCAACTACAAATCTCAATGTTATTTACTTCAGAAGTTAAGAGAAAGGTTACAGAGGCAAGCATACAAAAGATTTAAACATACTGTGAGAAATATATGAAATTATTATACAGTCACTATATACTGTAGTCTATGCAAATGCAAATGGTTCATAAAACTACATATTCACTGGATCTGAGGTTGTATTCTTTGGAGGTCAGTCCACATGCAATGCGGATTGTGATATCACAAATGACATCTCAAACAATGTTGTAAAAATGGCTTTTATGGTTGAAGACAACTGTGTATCTGTCATCTGAGCAGGAAAATATTTTGCAAGCCCATCACTTGATTATTATATATCTTTAGTAAACGTTTCGATGGGAAATAATGTCTTTAATACACATAGAAGTAATAACTTTTAATCTGCAATTTTTTTTTAATCTTTCTGCAATGATATTCGTTAATGAAAATAGTGTTGTCTTGCAGTCTTCAATGTCTTATTATTCAATACTGGACTATACATACATATATATAAAAACAATTATATAACCTGATATATCCTGAGCCTCTACTTTGGCTGACGGGAACTTTGACTTGAGTATAGATATGATCTTCTTTTCTCCTTCAGTAAACTCCGTATTTGCCTCACAATACCCTCTCCTTGCAATCGCTGGCAGGTACTACAAAAAATCAACTTTCATTAATTCCAACTAACATGAAAAAGCTATATAGCTTTATTAAGCTATTCAAAATAGCTTGATAAAGCTATTTGTGTGCAGTTTTTCAGAAAAATGTTTTTTGTAAGAAATAGACAAAAAGTCACAAGTATTTGACTATTCATATATGTACTATGTGCTATCAAAACAACAACTGAAATCAAAGATAGTTCTAACATTGCAGCATTTGAATACTTTTAAGCAAACGATGAATTTCCATTGTTTGAGTAACTGTACACCACCTTGTGTGCGTTGAGGCGTCGATAAGTATGATTGCTTCTCATTGTACTGAATTATTACCAGTCAATTATCTTGTTGACCATAGTTGGCCTCTTTTATAATTTCAATGAAGAAGTAACTGTATCAATTGCTTTATATAGCCCCAAAACTTTAAGAACTATGAGTGCAAAGTCTCTTAAGGAGACGCAATTTAATGAGTAATTTTTACATGCATTATTTTCAGAAGAGTTCAAGGTTGAATATCATCACTGCACCAAGGTGTGACTTTTTGTGCATCCATGCTGAGAAAATAACACATTTAAGAAAAAAGTGTGATAAAATAGCTAAATCAAGCTATTCTGAATAGCTTAATAAAGCTATATAGCTAAATCAAGCTATATAGCTAAATCAAGAGATTGTGCCAGACCTGTTGTCATAGATTTCAAATCAATTTCAGTAATGAAATTAGTCAGCTCTTTCCATTTGTTATCCATGGAACAATACATATTAATATCCTTAGATTTTCAATTCTTACTTGTTTTACACTACGAAAAAGTCTAAGCATGATGATGCTGTACGTTCACGTTATAAACAGTTATTCAACCACTTTTTCCTGTGCGTCCTTGTTTAAAACGAAACTGAAAGTTACTTCCTTGACCTTCTCAGGGAGCAGCTATTTACCATGCTTAAGTACTAACTTAGGTAATCATATAATCCTCTTCTTTAAAAACAAATATTATTTTATCTTATTTTAAATACGTATACAGATTCAGCATCTGTTCTAAGTCATGTTCAATTTTAATAAATTAGAGAAAACATTCACTGTAATAACTGCTCCCTAAGGTAAACACACAACAAACATGGCGGCCTCCATCAGCCGATCGCTGCAGAAAATCAGCAGCCAGTTTGTAAGTTGCAGTTGTGATTAGCGCCCTACATTTTGTCTGAAATTAGAAATATTGATTAATAAGATTTCAGTTTCATTATATATTGTTTTATGAGTTTGATGTTTACAATTAAATTGCGTTAGAGATAGGTGACATGGACTTTGATCAGTTACACGTTCGAATTTCCTTTATCAGTTTATATATGTCACAGGTTTCTGGAACGACATGTTCAACTTTGAATTTACTAACTTATCTAAATATTTATTTTTGTTTGCCCCTTGTATGCTTTAATTTAAAAATGTTATTTCTGAGTGTACAATATAGGTAAACGTAGATGGAACGTTCTATCGTTAAAAAACTTAAAATGATACCGGTATTGTCCTACGGAACCGGTTTAACGGCTCGTCCCGAGACACAGTTAAGCTTATTCTAATTAAGATAGACTATTTGATAAAGAAAAAACGAATAGAATAGGGTGGAATGTTTTGGAAATATTCTTTATTGATAGTAGAAAATTGAAGTTAATATGCATTAACTTTTTTTCTGAATTCTGGAAGTCTTTGATTATGCTGAATAATTTTCTCCATCATATACAGCTTCGTCAACTATGTTATATATAAGTATAAACTGTTCCCCACAAACTTCATCCAGGTTACAGGTGTTTGGATTAACAAGGCTCCACTGTACATGTATTTTTTTTTTTTGGTTGTAGAATTCTGGCCATGGGAAAATTTTCCGCAATTTTTCTGTTACAAGTCACAGAAAAGACAAAGTTGGACCACAAGCTCATTTCTTTCCTGCCATGTCAACACCCATGCTCCCCAAGGATACATTTAAAGGCAAGACAGCCTTCATCACAGGTGGAGGAACAGGGTTAGGGAAAGGAATGACCACTACATTATCACAGCTAGGAGCCCAGGTTGTCATTACAAGCAGGCAGGCAATTTTTATCTATGTTAAGATCTTAAAAAAGAAATAAATAAATTCACTGTGAACATAAAGGAAATGAATGAGCTCAACATGTAGTTAATTTTACATGTCAACCTATCATAACATGGACAAAATTTCATAACTGATTTAACAGTAAAATAAAATGAATAGACAACATTCAGCCAGTCTGATTAAAATAAGCTATTAATAGAAATCCCCTTTTTCTATCCAATAACTTGTACATGTATAATATAATAGCTGATGTAATCAGATTGGTAGCTGTTTTTATGCCTTAAGATTTTAAGTTAAGAGAACTACCTTTGAAGATCATTTAAAAAAAATGTTTTGTAGAAAATTACCTGTACTAGAACAAACAGCTGAAGAAATAAGCAAAGTAACAGGGAACAAAGTAAGTTTAACATTTATTTTTAAAATAAAAAATATATATGTACTAACTTACTAAGTTATTCAATGGATTGATATGAAAGAAAAACATATTAACATTAAACACTGTACACCTTTCATTGGGTGGGCTTAAGCACTTCTGAGTCTGTAAATACTTAATAGTGGTGGTGATTTCAGAATCTATCTTTAATGGAAAAATTAATAATTTCATGTAACCACAATTTCTAAAGTTTCAGTTTTATTAACAGTTTTGTTAATTGGTGTCCCCTGCTTTCATGAAAACATGGGTGCATTAAATCTCATTTGTCTGTCCATCTGTCAGCATGTCTATCACAGAAAACTTTAACTTTGGTCATAACTTTTGAATGAGAGAAGATAGGGCTTAAATATTTCACATGTGCATTAAGTGTGATGAAATATCCAAATGTTTTAGGATTTTCAAACCCATGACCTTGAAGTCTGAACTTTTTTCCAAATTTTTAACATTAGGTATAGCTTTTTGCACCTGACGAGACATTGCCTTCATATGTAATGTGTGCATTAGCTTTCCAGATGAACTAGGATATTCCTAAAAACATTTTTGAATGAGGCTTTTACATTTATATGTGCATTACATATGACATGTCTAAATGTTTTAGGATTTCTTACCTCATGACTTAGATCTGGAAGTTTGACTTACCTTTCAAAAAATTCAACCTTGGCTGTAGCTTTTGCACCTGAAGAGACATGACTCTCATATTTTATATGTGCATTATCTATGACAAAACTCCACTGTTGGCATAATATCTCTGGTTCTTTTGCCATCCGATGTCAACCTTAATATCATCTTCTTTTAAGCATTTAACAAAAACAAATAAAAATGAAACCAAAATCTGAATGACCAATTTATATTTTCAAGGAAATAATATACTTGAATATTAATTTTAACATAGTCAAGGAGCCACCAATTCTAGAACAAATACTCATCAATTCTGATATTAAATGCATATTGTCTCCGCAAATGATAATTCCATCATTTCTGTCATGGATTTCAACTCCCTTGATTACTGATTTCTTTCTGTACCTGTAATTGATAAATTCTGATGGTACTGGTTAAAATAATTTTTGTTTTTTGAGTCATTTCATTTCTTCCATTGTGTGAACATAATCACCTTTAGGTGCTGGCGGTGGCAGCGGATGTTCGTGATCCAGAGAGCGTGAAGGCTGCCGTGGATCATTGCGAGCAGGAGTTTGGATTACCCAGCATTGTTATCAACAATGCAGCAGGAAACTTCATATCCCCCACAGAGAGACTGTCTCCTAATGCATTCAAGACAGTAGTGGACATTGTACTCAATGGAACTGCTGTTGTCACTTTAGAACTTGGAAAAAGGCTCATTAAAGCAAAACAGGGTAATGCTAGTATTATAGCTAGTATATGAGATATTCTTTTGAGAATTTCCCTCATTGACTAGCAAACTCAAAAGAAATGTTCTGAAACTTGACCAGTCTCTGGTTATTTTCTTGCTTAGTTACTTTGTATTAAGAGCATGTCTATGCATTTCAGGGGCTTCCTTTTTGTCTATAACAACAATCTACACTGGGAGTGGATCAGGATTTGTCACACCCAGTGCAGCAGCTAAAACTGGAGTGGAAGGCCTGACAAAGTAATCAGAATGTTTTGATTGAGAACAATTTTAGACGATTAAGCCTGTACATGTATTTGGATTCAGATTCATTACATAATGGATAAGATATTTTTAAGATCACTGAATAATTACTTTCGATTCTTCTCAACTGCACTAAGAAAAAAGCATATCATACAAAAGGCTTTGCACTCAGTAATAATGAACAACTGAATACAGATTAGACTTGGTAAGGATTCTTTGCACTCAGTAATAATGAACAACTGAATACAGATTAGACTTGGTAAGGATTCCACTTGATTCTCTAGGTCTTTGGCTGCTGAGTGGGGCAGATATGGACTGAGGTTTAACTGTATAGCCCCTGGACCAATAGAAACTAAGGTAATATCATGTAGATTATTTCTGTTTTATTATTCTAATACATTTTATAAATAGAGATATTGACTAAATATTGTATGAGAACAAGTCGCACAAGGTGTTTAAGATTCATTCTTTTATACATATGTACGAGGGTTGTTCGAAAAGTTCGTGGACTGATGTGATAAAATTAATACTATGTAGTCTATGCTTACAAAATTTTTAATGAACATAAAACAACAAAAGTTAAAGAAATGTTGAAAATTTTAGCTTGATATCTTGAATATTTACCAAATTATCATAAAATAAAAAAGACATTATATGATCACCCGGCGCTGTCGCCATTTAGTTTCATGACATCATTGTTTTTCAATGTCCGTGTTCTCTACCTCATACACTTATCTTGATGAGTTTTCTTGGAGTTAAGTAAAGATTAAAACCCGTCTTGTTTATATGATTTTACAATGTCATAAACACCTGATTTCAATGCATATAGTATTGTAAATAAATCTAAAAGATGCTCACTTGATTATAACAACATATTTGCTTGTCAGAGTTCAACATCTATCACCCGTGATCAACTTCACTTTTTGACGTGACAAACTTTGAACACCCTTACTACAAATCGACATTAACTTTTACATCTCTCGTTTCTCTAATCTTTTTCGGCGTTTAAAAACAAGTAATCTGAATGCATTTTATTCTTCAGTAGCCCATTTAAATATTTCCTAGGTCTATGCCAGTTTTTCCAGAGGGTGAAACTTTATATAGAATGTTGGAAATAGAAACCCACCCCCCTTTCTGACGTCATTACAACCCCATAATTGTTTGGACATTTCATATAAATTTTACGATAAAATTTCATAGAACTTACAGAATGGGGTAAAAATTGCAAATTTTACAGTACAATTGTGTCATAGCACATGAGTGAATTAACGGGATTTTTGAATGACAAATGCTCATATCAAAAAAGAGTTTTTTCTAAGTTACGCTTAGGTAGAAAAAATGTAATCTTCGAGGTTGCGTTGGCTGGACATACCATTGCTTTCAAAAACATCAACAATTTATTTAAAAATAAAACCAATGATGTATAGTTTATTATATAAATAAAAAAGATAATGCTAATTGAACATTAAAAAATTCATTGATGTATCTTAAGCGGTTTTAATTTTATGGCGCTAGTCCACAAACTTTCTGAACAGCCCTCGTATTTCATGTTTTATGGAATTATGGTCCTTGAATTTGAAAAAAAATTCTTACTATATACATGTAGTTTATAATGAAATCTTCATTTTGCTTACATTTGAGATACATATATCCATGCATTTACATGTAATATGACTTGAGCATACTTTTTTCTGTTAGGGTGCATTTAGCCGTCTTGACCCAACAGGTCAATTTAAGGACAAGCTGATAGATATTATACCAGTGGGTCGGCTGGGTGAGGTCCCAGAGATTGCTAACTTAGCCAGCTACATGGTCAGTGACTATGCCAGCTGGATGAGTGGAAGTGTAAGTTAAAATTTTTTCTTACTTTGTAATTATATTTAAAATCTATATTATACATTTATAGTTGCCAAATGCATTCTTTACATGAACTGTCTCTTACAGCTTCAAACACTTTAGTTTTTGAGTATGACATTTACAGATTTAAAGAATATCAATAAATTAAGAAGCTTTTTAATTCGTCATCTTTAGCTTAATAGATGAATCAGTTCTGTGTAAATGAAATAGCCCATCCCTTTCATTGCATTTGAATGTGTATTAAAATGTTTTAATAATAATTAATGCACACAGAAAATCAATTAAAACATATTTTGTGTAGACCTTGAAAAAGTGCTATTTTGACCCAGTCCTTAAAAAATGCTTGAAAATTAAAGCTTAAACAGCAAAATGACATGGAAAAGTGCATAAATTGCTTGAATTTTTGTTGTTGTTGTTGTTGTACTTGAATTCTTATCTTGAGCTGCTATATAAGCAAAGATTAAATATGAAAGAAAAGGTATATTGATTTACCTATTATATAGCATTACCAAGTAGATTACATTTTTGTTGAAAAAACATAAATGAGAGGTTAAATGAGCTAAAGAAATTTAAAATATCCTAAATAATATATGGTGTCAATTTTTTTATTTGCATGAATGTCCAAAAGTGCTTGAAAAATGGCCATAAAAGTGCTAGAAAGTGCTAAAAAAATGTTACTGGGCTATATGAACCCTGTACAAGAGCAGAATTCCCAAACAAGAGATACATGTATATCCTTAATTAATTTACAGTTCTTTTTCCTTGAATGAATATTTTTATTTCTTCATGAAGATTGTAAATTTTGATGGAGGAGAATATGTGATGAGAGCAGGGGAGTTTAATGACTTGAGGATTATAACAAATGAACAATGGGATCAGCTAGAGGCCATCATCAGGAAGGTCAAGGGGTCATAGAGGCAGCAGCTGATTGGTCTTGGTTTGTTTCCACGAAACCATAATCCATATTTCTTCTTTTGAAAGATGCTCTCTTAAATTTACACAACAATGCATGAAATGAACTTACAAATATTCATGTTGAATATCATATATGTACATTGTATTTATGCGAGTTGCCAAATTACTCTGTTTTTAATATTAGCCATAAAAATCTTCCTTATATTTCTTTCTTTGTAAACCTGAAGTCTGAATAACCTCTATCTGCAGTATAGAATCTTTCTTAATATATTGTAATGAGCATTATTCCATCTCAGTTAGTACATTCTCAGAGTTCAGTTACTATCATTATATTGACAATGCATGTAATTAATTGTATTGACAATGCATGTAATTAAAATTGATTTATAATCATTGATCCTATGTATATACCTCAAGCTATCTCTGATATTGATCTTTGTTCAACAGATACATGTATATGTGTATTTATAGTTACATGCATTGCTAATCTTAAGTTAATGCTATACATAAATATTAATTTGTATTGTTTGTATGCACATATTGAAAATAAAGGAATTTCTAGGAACAATAGTTTTAAACCATTTGATGCCAATTAAAGCAGAATAGGAGCAAGACAGATTCTGGAATACAATGTTTACAAATCTGTAATGATTGGCCATTGTGTGATGAAAATTTATTGGAGGCATTGACAAAGGTTTTGTAATTCTACCATGGATATATTATTTTATTTCAAAAAGATCAAAATATTTTCAGTTAAATAGACTGTGAAAATTTTTACAGATGTACAGCGCAGCAAATTTTTGCAAATTTACAGTGCAACTCTAGTTTTCATATTAGATAATTGCTGATTTTGACCCATTATTAAAATTTGATATTATACTAAATTAGAATATGCTGTATGTATTTGCACCAGTTATCAATGTTCATCTTAACAATTATCTCATGACATCTTGAAATTACATGGAAATATTTAGCAAGGCCTAATATTGGTGTGTGAGTACTGTATCTGCGGATCTTTTTATTGTGAAATATCTCCTTTGGAAGCAAAGCTGTTGACTGAAATCCCGGCCTTGGCTTGTGGAGATATCATAATATCTACCGCATTCATGCTGGAACTTACTAATCAAAATTTTAGTCTTCACAAAGGATACCTTGAACCGTAAATGTTTATAAAATGTATCCTGTTAAATGGATAAGATAACCTAAATAGAATTCTGTCAAAAACTGCCCTCCGTACGATGATAACAGATAAGTGTTAGTTTTTGTAAACTAGGTTATGAGCCAATAGTAAAATTCCATACGCAAAAAGACACATACATGGTTAAGTATGGAGTATAATTTGGCAGTGGACGGTCTACAAACCAAAGTGACGTTAAATGAAGAAAAAATTACCTTCAAATCACTTGACACCACCATTTGTAAGTATATAGTAAAAAGAACTATCTGCTTTTCCTTTAAACAGCTGTAAAATGTTTATGCACTAGATATAATAATTTATAGTACCTGTTTCTGTTTTTTAAATTCAGAAATGTTTATTTCTCAAACTTTAAAGTAGCAGAACTTGGTATTTGTAGCTTATTTATTATTCTGCAGATATGGTAGGCAAGGAATGTCGTAACTCTATGGAAAAACACAAGCAGGATAAAATATCAACTAGATTTAAACCATATCTTACTCCCTATATATAAAACATTGAATGGGATTTGGGAGCGGACTGATCATATATAAACTACAATAAAACAAAGTGAGGAGGGACATATAGACAGTGCACAGACAAGAATAAAGACAGCAATATATCAGAATTTAAGAGTGTCAATTTTTTGCCAATATAAACATATCCAAATTTTAGCTAGTTTAGGGCCAGAATATTTATTCTCTGAATTAATATACTTGTATTGTGCTTGAGAGAAGAATTTATTACGTTTTCAACAGTGAAACACTGTGATTTATTTACTAGTATTGAATAAATGTGATATTCTCAAAGTGTGAAAGGATATACCAAAGTGATATTCTGTCACAGTGTGAATGGATATCGAAGTAAGGAAAAATCATTTCTGACCTGTAATAAGATAGAGTTAGTAACTAAACCATCTTGATAGAGACTAAAACTCAATTTCTTCCCAAATATGTCGCTAAAATCAATATTGCAACGTTTTCAGTCTCACAACAGCTAAGCTTTGACGTCTCAACTGCTCAGCCTATGACACCGTGTTAAGAAAAGACAGAGGCATAATGTAATAAACAGAAAATTCAATGTTTTGTAGTTACAATGTAGATATGGAATTTATTTCACTTGTGAGACAGGATTTTTAAAAAATATTTTTAGGAGTGAGAAGCACGAGTGAAAATATCAAAAAATTCTGTCCCACTCGTGAAATAAATTCCATATCCAACTACAAAGCATTGAATATCCTCTATTTATATCTAAAAGGGTACCAATTCTTCCAGAGATCAAATCGAAAATTCAAAATACATCGTTTCAGGCCTGAACATATTTTTTGGTAATAAATGGTTTGTAATAAAATTTATACAGCCAAAATTTTCTAGCTGCATGGTTTAAAATATTGAATTATTTCTTTTTCCATCTCATAGGGTGATAATATTTATAAAATAATAGATAAAAAAGGAATTCCTCCCCCTGGCCCTTTTTCAGATCAAATGATTGTATTCTTCATCATTCATTTCCAGTCAGTTACCAGTTAAATGACGTCATCGGTTGTGATGAGATAGTGACGGGGTGGTTTAACAAGACTGAAGTAACCCGAGTTTGGTTAATCGAACACGGTCCTTCAAACTTACTCCTGAAAAAATGCAAAGTAGTGTCTGGGGAGCAAAGGAAACGTTTCCAACAAGATTTGACAGAAAAGACAGCAAATGGTAAGTTGTCACGTAATCCTGTAAAGATCATAAAATCAATACTCAGTATGGTGAGAGGACATGGTTTTCATACAGTCTTACTAATTTGCCTTTACCGTTGGTTATAAAGCGAGTAAACTAGAGAATCAAGCATTGTTACTACCTATTTACGTTTTATTTCTGATTTTACAGAAACAAAACGTCCAAAACGTTTGTTGGTGATGATTAACACAATTGGTGGCAGTGGTTCAGCAAAGAAGTATTTCAGGGATGTAGTGCAGCCAGTTTTTAAACTTTCAGGAATATCCATGGATGTAATTTGTAAGTAAAGACTTCGATGGTTAATCCGAAAGTAATGTCTCTATTCCTGTAAAATTTCAAATAATAGCCTTATAGGAAGTCATCAATAAATAAAAGAATAATAATACCTCTATATATTTTGTCGCCTGAAAATTTTATTAAGATAAACTCTGTAAATAATATTTTAATATTTACATTTTCTGTGTATTTTACTAAACCAACTACACTGTGCCAATGTATGGAATTAATTTAAAATTGCATTTAGGTAAATACACACGTCGTGTATAAATATAAACAGAAAAACTCGCTCGAAAGTGACGTCACATTCAAGAAACAGGAACCTCAATGAAAATATAACCTGGAATGTAATACTGCAGCTTTTAAATACGTAAAATATAAATGTAAGGGACGTTTTTTATTTGTGTGAGGGTTACTGGTTTGTAAAGTAGACACACTTGCACGAAGACGTATTTTTCATGAAATGCTAACGCGATTCATGAAATATGCCTACGTGATAAGTCTGTGTGATATACACACCAATAATTCGTACAAAAAACAAACAAACAAACAAACAAACAAACTTTGTCATACAGATAAACGCAAAGTAAGGTGCCGTCACAACGTTGGAAGATGCTCGCATTTCATTTCCCAAACAAGATTTTTGTTCAAGAAACATATATCTATATTCACTATTCTACTGAAAGTCTGAAACTGAGCGCCTGAAAATTGACAGCGATCTCCTAAACGTCTCAAATTATGAGCAATTCATTAAGTACTAATTACAATTGAATTTCTTTCTTTTCCAGTTACTGAGCATTCGGGACATATGATTAATATTGCAAAAACCTATGACTTTTCCAATACTGATGGGTAATATTAGAGGAAACGATCTTTGAATGTAAAGAAAGATAAAACTATGTTATTTTAATCCATGTTTTACTTGTAATCTTTAAAGAATTTGAATATTATGAATTAAAAACATGGGTAATCAAAGATTGCAGAGCTCACCTCAACGAATGTTATCTTAAAGTAAGACAAAATCTCATACCAAATAAATGTTCTGGTATTATGCATCCAAAGATACAATATTTATGCAAGTTGGTCGTGGTAAGACTATGTTTAATCGGTAATGGACCTGCTCCCCAAAATTTCTGTTCAATCATCTAAAAATGTAAGTAGGATTAAGCAATTGAAGCAAGTCAGGTAGTGTGCATCGCTCTAGAAGCATCATCCAGCAAGTTTGGTCAGCATAGGACTTGTAGTCTTATAGGAAACTTTAATCTGGTCAATCATCCAGAAAATGTAGATCAGATCCAGAATCCGAAGCAAATTTGGTGGCTTGTATCCCTACACGAATCATCTATGCAAGACTGGCCACCATAGGGCTTACAGTTACTTAAGAATGAATCTGCTCTAAAAACTTTAATTTGGTCACTCATTCAGAAAATATAGGCCAGGTTCAGTATCTAAAGCAGGTCTGGTTAGTGTGCAACCTAGATGCATAATACATGCAAGGTTGGTCCATGTAGCAGTAGGACTTATAGTTACTTAATAATGAACCTGCTTCAAAAACTTTAATAATCTGTTCACTCTTCCGGAAAATGTAGGTCAGACGGTAGCTTTCATCCTCATCCATCCAAGTGTGATCCAGGTAGGGCTTAAAGTTCCTTGGGAATGGACCCTCTCCAAAAACTGACCATGTCACTTATCTGTAAAATGTAGGTCAGATCCAGCATTCGAAGCATGTCTGGTAGTATGCATTCCTAGATATATCATACAAGCAAATTTGGTCACCATAGTGTTGATAGTTACTATTGAATGAACCTGCTCCAAAAACATAAACCTGTTCACTCATTTGGAAAATGTAGGTCTCAGATCCAGCGTCCGAAGCAAGTCTAATATTGTGCATCCTTAGATGCATCGTCTCTGCAAGTTTGTTCCAGTTAGGGCTTATTGTTACTTGGAAATTAGACCTCCTCCAAAAAACATCGTTTCAAAAAAATTAACCTGACCCCCCAAAATTAACTGGTCATTCTTATAGAAAACATATGCTGAAAATACAGCACCTGAATACTGAATAAAACGATAGAACATACCAGATGCATCAGACTGACTTTATTTTAGACTTAAATACTATGTGTGAAAAGTTTATTTTTTTTAAATTATATATACATATAGTTATAAAAAGTGATATAAAAAGAAATGATTCTAGGATAACAATACTTGGAGGAGACGGATCTTATCATGAAGTGGTCAACGTATTGTTGAGAAGGAGACAAGAGGAACAAGGCGTGGATATAAATGATCAAAATGCATCCCTTTCCCCTGTGAACATCCCAATAGCCCTGATACCAACTGGTAATCTGGTATTCTTCATTTGACTTACATTTCGATAACTTTTATAACACCTAACTGTACATGAGGATAAATTTTTATTCGTATTATTTCAGGAACTGGTTGTGGATTAACAGAATATAATACAGGGTGTAGGGATGTTCTGACTGCTTGTCTTCATGTTATCCAAGGTAAGGTTTATGAGCATATCGCAAGGTTTAGGCGACAAAAAAGATTTCTCGTGGAGAGAAAGTCCATTTGTTTACAATAAATAAATTTGTATCTATAAAAAATTATGATTAGTTGGCGCACTTTAATTAACAAATACATGTTAACAATACATTGCACTGCCGTGACTTGCTGCTGAGCTACCCGATGGTATACATATATACTTGTTCTATCCCCAGCACTCTCGCCATACATACGGATTTTCAACTTTCCTAACACATGAATAAGCTTTCTTGAATTTCTTAACATTACCAGAATGACCACTGCTTTCATTCTAGTAAACCGAAATTTTGTAAGGGTCATGACCTGAATATATGATATTACCTGAGAGACGAATTTTTAGCAGGTTCCATTTACATGTATTCAGTCGTTAGGTATTTGTATTCGAAGGAAAAATATCATTTAAACGACAGAACACTCTATATAGTATTTGCAATTATAAAAACAAAAAAATTTGAAATTCTGTTGGGAATCTTTATTTTTCAAATTCACACCGTTCTCTAATGCTTAAATAGTACAATCATGTAACTTGTTCGATCGGACAATTATTTGTGGAGATTGACTTATCCGAACACAAATGAACTGGACACGGACAATCCACAGACGTTAATGTTGAGCCCTTTAAAATAATTGATAATATTAAGTAATATACTGACAGGGAGGACTGTACCAAGTCATTTATTGGCTCTATACAACAATGGTAAACTCCTGGGATTTGGCGGAACAGGATGTTCCTACGGATTCATGACAGATATCCTGTACTACTCTGACAGGATGTTCCGCTGGCTCGGGCGAATCCGCTACTATGGTACAATTAGACGACAATTTTCCTTCAAATAATATCTTATTCTTTGTTAATATACAATATTTTGATATGTAAACGTTTGTGGTTTTGTGTCGTTGAAAATTCTTTGTTGTAGTTGTGCCAATATGGATGTTCCTTTTCAAATCTCAGACGAATCGAGCTTTCGATGCCAAGGTCACGTGTTACGCTTCGTAAGTATATTATGCTTTTGAAATATGTGAAGGGGGAGGCTTGGCCGATTCTAGAAGAAACATGCAATAATATTTACAATAACATATGCTCATTTAGTGTATTATTTGCTTGATCACCAGATATAAAATGTATTTAGGCCTAGATCATGCTGTTTGTTAATGGCCTTTTCAAACTAGAGCAAAAAACCATTCCTACAATCAAGAAATCGCTTCAGTTCACTGCTGAAGTAACTTCAGTGAAATCAAACCATAAAATATGAATCAAGAAAGCCTATGATGAGAGATCATTATTTTGGGTATTCTTCGAAAGACAGTTATGGAAAAACAGGTCTCTTTTTAAAGCATCACTGAAAAATCATTTGCTAGAAAGAGAGATTGTAGAGCAAGAGAGTAAAATGTATAGGTATTGGGTTGTAGGGTTGAAGAAGTGTTAAATCATAGAACATATTGCATGATGTCCTAATAAATATCTGGATAACATTGGTATCATATAAAATGTATAATAGTTATTTATATATAAAAATGAAGAAAGAAAGACGACGAGATTCTAACAAAACGCAAAATGCAGAAACGAAACGGAGATATACTTGATACAAAATGTGATCTCCTTTACTAACTCCCTGTCTTGATGATTGATTGATTGTATGTTGTTTTACGTCCCATTCGAGAATTTTTCAATCATATAGAGACGTCACCTTATACTGGTGAAGGGCTTCAAATTTAGACCTTTTAAGTTTTACTCGGCACTCAGGGCCTTTGAGCAGTGAGGGTTCTTTATCGTGCCAACGCCTGCCGTGACACGGGGCCTCGGTTTTTAAGGTCTCATCCGAAGGACCCGCAACTTTCACTTCAAAGTGCCGAACTCTTGGCGAGGGAACAGTTGCCACCTGTTTTTATCGACTTAGGTCAGTCGCGGCCGTGATTCGTAAACACGACCTTTCGTTCATGGAGCGAGCACTCTACCGACTCAGCTACCGCGACGGTCTGTCTTGATGGAAATTTATGAATTAGGTGTATCTTCAGAAATTTGACATGTCGAATAGCAACAGGACTAAAAGAGACATAAACATTATCGACACACTGCAATGGATCAAAAGGAATGGGAAAAATAACACTACACACATCTCACAGTGCCAGCTTCACTGCTGTGTAACATTTTACATTTGGCAGGCGTCAACCCTCACGATGACCCATCAGATGAAGAAGACATTCCTCAGAGCATTTAAGAATCAGATTAGGAGAGAGGATGTTACTCGAATGGACTCAAAACGTGATTTGAAAACGGGGGAGGGGGGCTAGAATTGAGGGGCAGGGGCAGAAAGGGTAAGAGGGAGATAGGAGAGAAGAGGAGGAAGGGGAAGTAAAAGAGGGGAAAGAGAAACTATTAAGGGATAAAGGGGGAGAGAAAGCGAGAGGAGGGGAAAGAGTTATTAAGGGATAAAGGGGAGAAGAGAGTTATGGGAGAAAGCAGGAGGAGGGGAAAGAGAAAATTTAAAGGGGAGAAGGGGAGGCTAAGCAGGAGGAGGGAAAAAGTAATTATTCAGGGATGAGGGGGGAAGAGAGGGGGAGAGAAAGCGGGAGGAGGGTAAGAGAAATTATTAGGGGATAAAGGGGAGAAAAAGTGGGAGGATGGAAAGAGGGAGAAGTGTTTTTTCCCTTACTGTACATCAAAATAGAAGACACACATATTCAGAAAAAGAAACAATTGAGTTATTTGACGCACTTGATTACTCAATATCTTGAAAATGTTTTTGTCTTAGGTGATTTGCTTTCCTTGGGCAACGATCAGGTACTTAAAGAAGGGACAGAAGAGACATTAGATACAGAAATTTAACCAAAAAAATCAAACATAATTAAATACCAGGAGATGCCAGGAGACGCATAATGCTCCTTCTAATGCAGAAGTTTGAAAAGCTCAAACACCTTTGGACAACTTCTTCTCTTCTCTTCCAAAAATAAATGAAGTGTATTAGGAGATTGCTGAAAATAAAGCACTACGATTGTGGAAGATTTGTCACACTCGTTTTAATTCATTTATCTAAATGTTATCATTTTTTTTTATTGTGCTACTAGTATTTTACACATAATTACTTATACATGTATATGATATGATATGTTTAGAAATTTCATCCTGTGTTTTACACGTCAGAGTCACTGAGCGACTAAACAGGGAAACCAATGAGACAGAGATCTTTGTCGAAGATAAAAAGCTATTGGGACATTGTTCCTTTACATCTGACACAGGTAAAACGTAAAGCTTTATGGATAAAAGATCAGAATATTTCGTATTCGCAAAGTACCTGTTGTTCGTCCTTTGTCTTTAAAAAAACAATTTTTCAAAATGTTTATTTACACTTTTTGTCCTATTTCAGTAGAATGTGGAACAAATTTGTCTGCCACGATAAGATGCAAAAATCTATTTTCCATTTTTTTCACTGCACTTTTGTCTTGAAATCTACGAGATAGTTTTCGACTTATCTCGAATTTTCAAGATACAATAAAATTCGAGCCATCAAATTATTTCTTTTTTACTAAAACAACTATTTACAGTGACCTTCAAGCGGAAGTTTTGGAACATGATGATCTTTAACATTAATGTCATGTTAGATGGCAAAGCTGTATTCGACGTCGGTGGAATGTATGTCCCAAAACCCGACACGTGTACATCCTTCTTCTTCTATGGCGATGTTTCGGTCCGTGCCATTTTCAGATTTTTCAAACATATAGCTATCCGAACACCTATGGTAAGAATGGAATGCAGAATCAACATTTTATACAAGTCAAAGTGGTTTGCTTTAAAAATAGTGTAGCGAATAAGGCGAAAGCAGCTCTTTAATAAGTGATTACATGAACTTGGAGTGTCACTCATCAAAATATTTTTTGTGTAGAAAATTTAGCAAAAAATGGATTAGAGATACTGAAAATCTATATCTATGTTTCAAAGGATGTAACAGATAATGAACTGGAGGCACTAAATGTCCAAGGGATGAAAGTGGAAGTGACAGACAGTTATAATAGCAAGGATCCGGAGATGACGATGTCGAAGCGACTCATACAGCTGGACGGGGAAATGTATCAGCTGGATTCTCCTTCATTTCAATTATGGTTTGGATAAAACAATTTCTTTAGGTTTATTAATTTCAACACCTACGTTGCCGTGATTCCTTAATTGGTGATTGCAAACGAGGTTTTCCCATCATAATTGACATAATTTTGATTCATATTAATTAATTAAACCTTTGAACCATATATTATAAAAATTTGTACCAAAAAGCTGGTTTCCAGTGAAATGGGGAAAGTGTTACCACTACGTACATTATATACTGATAAGTATTATTAAAAAATCTTTTGTTTTAACTTTTTTCATTCCAATTTTTTTGACGATGAAATATTTCCGTCATGAAAGAAATAAGATATTTTTTATTCTTTTTTTCAGGCACAAACTGAACGTTTTACAGTTCTTCTCAAGTTATCGATGAAAAGTAAAGCGGGGAAAAATGCTTACATTTTCATTTTCAGCAGACCTGCCTCAAAATTTGATAGACTTTTCTTTATGTTTTCTTCTTTATTGTAAAGAACATCTTAAAATTTCCTAAAACTTTCATTAATGAAAGTCCTCAACTTTTCCATATATGATTGGTGGAAGCAGTCATTTTCTAACGTACGTCGTTGTACATTAATACATGTAAACAGCTCTATATATCAGTATATTTTGCATGCATAAATAGCATTATACGGATCGGAAACGTTCATATATTCAAACTATGGAGTGCATGTATTGATGTAGCCATTGTGATGCTTTAATACATTTTTCACACATTAAATTTGTAGATTGTTATAGATAAGTTTAAATTGATAAATTTTAAACTTTTAATGTAACACATTGAACATGAGGTGAGAACCTAGTAAGTTGAAAAAACTTGTGTTCAAACCTTTTGCATATTATATATACAGTAGAATATGTTAAAAAAATTATCTACACAATAGAATATGTTCAAATATTATATATACAATATATTCAAATATCATATACGCAATAAAATATGCTCAATTCATATCATTAAAAAGGGTTGCTCTGAATTTTATCGTATTTCTCTATTACATGTATTACTACTGCTTCTTTTTAATAATAAAATAGTGACAACAAAAATGTTTTTTAACTTGTTCATAAACGATGTATACGTAAAAAGTTTTCGAAAATGAAGTATCGATTATGTAATTTTTTCTGGAAATATAATTGCATAAAAGCATTTACCTGCTTAATCAAGACAGCTTCGTAATAGTGACTTCTATTTAGCCAGGTTTTCTTTCCCAGTCCAAAAAAAGGGGGGGGGGTAAAAATATTATTATTTTTGCTGTTTTCATTTAAAAAGCAGAGGAACAGTATTTTATCATTTCTCAAACCATAGTAAATTATTACTGTTTTAATTAGTTACGCGGATAAGTGGTGCCATGAAGCATATAGTATGTTTGGTACTACTCTTTGAATTGTGTTCACAAGCATAGAAAAGTTACTATTATTGTCATTAAAACGTTCATTTTCTGATATCAAATGCAGCAAACAAAATGTAAGTCCCAAACATGCGACAGTACTTTAACAGTATTATTATTCTAATTGTATGTTTTAGAATGTCAAATTTTTGATGATTTGATATGTCCGTCTTATTTTTTCAGGCACAAACTGGACCTTGTGCAGATCTATTCGAGTTACTTTTGAGTAAACATCCTTTAAAAGCGCGCGCGCGCGCGTGTGTGTACATAGATCCGCAAATGTCGATGTTACCAAGCAGCTCGTACACCTGGATGGGGAGTTGTATCAGCTGGATTCTCCACCATTTCAGTTATGGAACGGATAAAACAATTGGTTTACGTCGTTTAACTGAAACACCTACGTTATCCTATTTCATGATGAAAAACGATTTTTTTTTTGCGATAAAAGTTTTGGTCCAGATATACTTTTACCCGAAAGCTTGTTTCCGGTTAAATTAAAAAATGTTCCCACTAATGCATAAAATTTTATTTTACATTGTCATGATTTTCTGCGAAGAAATATTTCAGTCAGTCGTTTTTTTTCATTTCTTTTTCAGGTACAATTATACTGAACGTTGTAAGTTCTCAAGTAATCGATGAAATACTAGTATACTGGGGCCCATTTTGCAAAAGAACTTACTACTAAGACTAAAAACTTAAGTTGATTGTAAAATCTTGCAAAATGGATTCCGATCAAAATTGCGAGCATAAAAGTTTTTTTTTCTAAATTCTTTTAAAAAGCCTTAAACCATTTTAAAATTAATATAAAATAGAACATGTAGAAAGTGCAAAATTACATTTTGGACTTAGTCGTGAGTTCTTTTGTAAAACGGGGTACTGACACTTGAAAAAGCTGTTCATTTTCATATGCTTTATTAGACTAATATTTTAACAAGTCTTAATAATTAGTTCCTCTCTTTCTCGTTAGAATGCTCTCTTTCTTTGTTAGTACGTTAGTAACACTGCAGCAGTTTTTGCAGGAAAAATATATAACCTGCGTAGGCGGGTTATGTATTTTTTTCTGCAATAGCTGCAAGCGTTAACTAATTCCCGTACTAACAAACAAGGAAATAAATTTTATTGTTCATATTTATGTCTGTATAAATAATCATAAATAGTAGGTGTGAATTAATACGTTAAATATTGTATATTAAGGTATTCAATGTATAACGAGCATATTTTGTACCTCATAAATGTATTGTTGGATATTTTTAATCAAGTAAGCATTATGAAGGTGTTATCAAATAAAAGTACTCCACCAAAGGAATTGACAAAATTTTCATTATTGTCTATAATTAATTGCACTTTGAATTTTACATTGAAGTCTATGGGCAGCACGTGTTTTATTTAGATGTTGTAAAAAGGAATTTAAATTTCATACAAATCCCTTGGTGAAAATATGCATAAACTCTCTCTTTATTAAAATATGAAATATATTTTGACAAAATTAAAATTTTCTTGTATTCATCAAGGGCAGATAACTCTTGCAAAATGCTTATTGTGCAAAATGGCTGACTTCTAATATGTTATCAGTCATGTGAATTTGGTTCATTTTACTTTCATCATTATCTAGCAATACATATTTATCTAGTTTAAAATGATGCAAAATTGTTCAATATTCCTTCCTTATACATTGAATATCTTAATATGTACGTCATTGTTAATTTCATTGATGGAATGGTTTAAAACGGTTCTAACCGGAGTTAACCGATTGATGAAAGAAGAAATCAAGGAGAACATTTTCAGTGGATTTGAATATGAATTATTGAACAAATAAATGTCCTAAACGTACAATTTAAGTTAATTTAAGTATTTTTACATCACTGAAGATTTTCTTGTGAAATGTGCTTTTCCATCAATGAAACTTACAATGAGTACACATCAATAATAGTTACAATATTTAATGTACTTAAACCTACTTTATATGATTATTTATACAGACATAGATATAAACAATAAAATGTCCTTTGTTAGAACGGAATAAAAGGTTGCAGCTATTGCAGAAAAAAATAACGTAACACGATTACGCAGGTTACATATTGTTTCTGCAACAGCTGCATTTAATTTTCGTACTAACAATCACAGAAAGAATTTTATTGTTTAACTCTTAAATAAACGTTATTTCAGTACTCTGCAATGGAAAAATGTGTTATCTGTGTTTTTTCATAAATAAATAAAACCATTTGAATTGTGTTCATCTTAGATTTTGCTTTCAGATTGCAAATTAAAAAGGAAAACTAAAGCTGAAACATGCTTAAAACATTAAATCTCCATAATTAGCGACCTGCACAAAAAAAACCAAAAAACAAAAAAAAAAAAAAAAAAAAAAAAAAAAAAAAAACAACCAAAAATCAAGCTATATGAATAAATTTCTATAGCTCAGCATGTGCCTTTTGATATTGGCTAAATGTCTGCAAAATAGTTGTGCCAAAAATGATGTTAAAAATATCAGGATTGCATTACCTTAATTATGTGACATTTTGAAATCGTATTTTTTGAAAGTTTGTTAAATAAACGATAATGATATATATTAGAAATAAAAATTTTCCTGATAAAATTCAATATATTGAGCTTTAAATTTGAACTAGTAACTTTTGCTTGACCGAGATATGGCCACGGCTGAAAAAAGTTATACCACGTGAAGAGAGCAACAGAAAAAATATACTGATGCCCAAAAAACATTAATTTTAAAAATCTGTATGACGAATAAGAAACACCATTTAAAGGTATAACATTTTATATGTATTACAAACAACATAAATGAGAGTCAAGTATCCGTGCATACCCGTTTACATTTTTATGTCATTGGGTGTAGTTTTGCTCCCCAACTTGAAAAAAAAAAACAAACTTTTATGGGTATATATTTTTTGCTTTCTTTTTTTTGGAATATAAAAACACAATGGACATTTTACCAAATAAATTTATCATTTATAGGAGCTATCTGTGTTTCAGATCCATATTTCCATGGCCAGGAGTGCAACACATTTTAAAAGGATCCAAGTTCAATGGCGAAATGACTTCTGTACATTCTAAGAAGTATTTTTTGATCAATAAGCTAGTACTAATAATTTAGTACTAAAGTAATGACAGTTCTATTATTGAAATCTGTCCCTTTTTCAGTTTTATCAAACCAGATGTGTTTTTATCTTTTCTTGTAATTTTTTAAGAAATAAAAAAAAAACACAGAAAAATTGTAATATGCTTCACAATTCTACTTGAAAGTCTCACATGTTTACCGTCGGGAGTACAATGAAAATGCTGGAATTAAATTTCGAATGAAGTTCTACGAATAGAATTATCAATGATCAAATATCTTTAAATATAAACAAAATTTAATGAGTAGAATGTCTCTGGTTGACCTCAACCGCTAACAGTGTTTGTCCATTGAAGTAGAATAACCTTTAAAATATACTTTTCCCTTCTTACTATATTTTAAGCTACTTTTATGGCATTACTAGGGAATAACTTGTGATACAAAGCCAATTTTAAACAATTTTATGCTTTTTAACCATGGAGCATTGGACACAGAATTTAAATACAACTTAATGTTTCCAGAACTTTATGATTTATTTTTGTGTTCTGTGGCTTTCATTTTAAATCTTACTGCAGTCAGGAGTGCAACAAAACTTTTTTTTATAATTATGAACTTCATCTATCTTTACTACAAAATTAATTGTAGGAAATGCTTGATACAATTTGTACTATATTTTGTAGTCATAATCATTATGTATATCAACAAATCACAGACACTTTTGGCATTTTTAGTCAATTTGCAGAATAGTTTTCATTACTAAAAATGTATTCTTTTCATATACATATTATATAAGCAAATAAGCATATTCTGAAGTCAAGTTAATACAAAAACATTTTCCTAAATGATGAAAAATATCACCGACGAACTGCTTTAGAAAATTTGAATGAGATATTGTAAGTTAAAATTTTTAAAACAATGTTTTTAAAAATGAAAACACTAGATTGAACATATTTTATTGTAGTTTCTAATTACAAAGGGATTGGGCACAAGTTTAAAAACTTATTACGCCCTCTCCCTACATTTAAATTACAAAGATTAGATTACGTCACAGTTAAAAATGTACATTTAAAATATTCAATATTTGTGAAATTTACAAATCAATGCATTTTAAAGAATCATACGTATAAAGTATATGCATGTAGATATAAATAAATATATTTATATCTATTAATACTAATACTAACATGTGAATCTGCCAGAATGTTTAATAAAAGTTTTAACAATAGAGCAAAGACGTTCATTCTCCACAGTACTCAATGAATCTATCCCCCATAATAAAACATGTGTATCTAAAATGTGAATTTTATCAAATAATAAAAATTTATCAAGAAATTCCTTTCTGGCTTCTTTATACTTTGAACTTATATTAAAAAAATAATGATACGTATCTTCTTTTTTGCCACATGATCATGAAGGACTTGAGATTAAATTACATCTGTGTAGGTCAATATTCAATGCACAATTATGTCGAAGTCATACTAGATATCAGGAGTGCAACAA